TGCAGAACACGTATTTACTTTATTTTGTGTAGACAAACCAAAATGTCGTCCATAACAAATTAGACAACATACAGTATATATCAAAGTGAAACCGTGACAATACATTGTAAGTGAAAGTGACCATTCGATATCAAAGAACATTTCAAACCCATTAAAACGTTTAATGGATGGCGAGTGGACATTCAAAATAAAAAATTGCGTTTTCATGAGGAGTAACCTTCTGTGCAGACTTCATAAAAGAACAGCTGAACAAGTCTGCGAAGTGCCCGCGTCATCTGACTGCAGCACTTTAGAACGACTGCATAAAGAAGCAATTTCGCTGAAAACATTCTCGCACACTCCAGAAATGAATAAGTCTGCACAGAGCCTCAACATGGTCAAGACAATCGGAATGATAGAGTATGAATATGAGCACAAAAGTTACAAAATAGTCGAAGATGGAAAACTGTTACTATTATATGAATGTAAACACTGTTGATATACCAGCAATTGCATAAAGAAGCAATGAATTAGCTCAACAGTTCACACTAGCAAGTACCATTATAAAAGCACTAGAAAATGAGGTTTCTCATTCGAATATTTCGTCGTATTGCATTCGAAAAGCCCTGATTGTATCTGTAGATGATGCGATTTCTATCCAAATTATCGTTGCCATCACCCGCGCTCTTAGCGTTGCAACTTGCCTGATTTGGGCTTTGATTCTTGGAACTAAGTTGTTGCTCATTTATCCTACGCGAATACTGACGTTGATCGTTATTTTCTTTATCCAACGGTAATTCCTCGCTTCGAATTCTAGCCAATTGAATCTGAATAACGCAGAAGTTTCGAATAATTTTCAAACAATTCAATATCCTTTCTCGCCACGAAACAACCTCTCAACTCCAGACAATTTTAATTAGTAAAATCAATTTCAAAAATTGAAAAACAGTGATGAAATAAACACAAAAAGTGACTCACTCGGTGTGCAATCATCTGACGAACTGTATTTGATAAGAAGCCACTTCGACGTTGCTCGCTGCTCTCAAGCGGAAACAACACCAACACATCGACTGGCCTGAAATTAATTTCAGGTTCACATGTGGTGTTAGACAAGAGATTTACGCTATGAGGCACAAGATATGTCCACTCATAAATCCAGATAAAATCCACATTCCGCGATGTATTTCATAACAGCTAAGTTTATTAATAATTCACTCTAATGAGCAAAATAAATACATTTATAAAAGCGTTACATTTCCGAATTGAGATGGAGAAAATAAAAACGAACGGGCAGAAAATGAATGAAGTAACGCCATCTTGAAAATTCGCTGTATACGAGAGTGAATATGATCGCATCACCGACACAATCGTTTGAATTAAACTCCTCTCACGTGCACTATACAATTGAGCATTTGCCTATTGAACAATACGAATACGAGTTCAACATTATTATCATCAATACACATTATCATTATACTTATCATTATCAACTAACCATTATCCTTGTTGCTTCAATACTATTACTGTACATTATCTATTCACCAAACTGATCTTACAAAAACAACAAAACAACGAATCAACACTGAAATGGTACCGTTTTGAGGGGTGGTTGCACGATGAGCACAAGCATTGGTAGCAAATCTAAAGTGAGAACACGTTCTGGGATACCACGTTGAGTGCTATTACTGCGCACACTTAGAACGGTCTCAAACGACTGACGACGTTGTTGGAAACAGTTCTA